TTTAAAGCTATGCTTTAAAACAAATAGTAGCACTAATTGTTAAAAAACATGGATGTGTTTTGTCTGAATGACTTCATTCTTTGAACTGTGTACCCCTAACACATATTGAGTAAGATTTGAAATGAGATATACACTATATGGAAACATGTTAAATTAAAAATGAAACAACAATGGCTGAAGGACTGTACAGGACACCAGCCAATGATGGCAGGATTCTAGAGCCTGAAAAGCCTGAAGTACAACCTAGTCATGCTTCTACCACATCTCATCTGTAGAGAGAGGACACTGCTCCTTTCAAGTTGCTATAGTGGTTGAGTAGGCTTACCATGAACTATCACTGCCATAAGAATAACATATAATACCACTCCCACCCCACCCCAAAAATTAACCAATTTGTATAAAACATGAATTAAATGAATCGCTTAAGTCTCCTAAAGGTAAGTGAAATAACTGCATTTTAGATCTGTAAAGTGAATACTGGTTGTTCTTCTCAGTTCTGTCACCATTTCTTATCACAAAGCATTTCAGAGATTTGCACATCATTTTGCAAGCATGGATAATTAGGTCTTGCTTAGAGGCCTGCAAGCAATACACTTATTACTGTGGAGTACTATCAGGTTCTTTATAGTATTAAAAATATAGGAATACTATCTGAACAAGGGCTGGGAAAAGAAGAATATGATGAATAATGTTACTGTATCACCAACTGTTGGAATGAGCTTTTAACATTTTAAAGAGTAATAAATAATGAAAGCATCTAAAATTAATAAATACTATACACAGAAATAAAAGTAATACCTGGAATAAAAAACTTTAAACCAGTTAATTTGAAATTTCAATTTCAAACTAAAAAAACAATTTTTTCAACAAAAGTAAAAGGAAAATGATCTTACCTTATCTAGCCTTTTTTGCCAGCTTTCTTCACGTTTCACCATGAGTTCAATACAATGAGAGAGTGTAGCAAGGATTCCAGCAGTAGTTGCTTTGAAAGTTATAGCTTCTCCTTTAAAGTCTATGCCATTAATTCCTTTGGGTGTCACATGTGGAAACACTAAAACCAAACACTAATTATTCACTGATAACTGCCTTTACCTCAAACAAGCATTTTACATATATGCTTTATATTAACACTGTTTGAAGAAAATAGACTGGCTAGAAATTTTATTTAAAAATAAAAAAGTGCAAATTTTCAGCTATTCCCTTGATAAGGAAAGAGATTCAAAAAGAAAAGCACATCCCTTCAATTTCATCTTGCTGTACTGTATTTAAAGTCTACTTGTAATGCTGTATTACTCTGCAAATCATGTGGGTGGAGGGAGTGGGAATACTTTGTAACAGTAGCAGTTTTACAGCTTGAAGTGGGACCTAATTAACACGGAGCAACCTTAAAATATATCCGATACAGCACTAAGAAAGAAACAATTTCAAAATGCAATCAAACACCAAAGGTAACATTTCAAGACTGCTTTAAGCAGGTAACTATAGATTTAAAAACTACAACATAAAAAGGTATGATATAAAAGTATTAAATGGGTTGAATTATCCAAGTACTGTGGCGTTTTGTAGTTCCAACAACTTCTTCATGATGTCAACCGGGCCATCTGTTACTAAGGTTATTTAAACAAGTCACTTAAAAGGTGTGACAAAAAAGTACATACTCTATGTCAAACTCGTATGTAGGCTGACAGAATACCAAAGCAAACACTATACATTAATGTCAGAAAATATTAGAAAGCAGAACTAACACTCATGTTGAAGCTGAGCCAAGCAAGTTAAAGTAACTCCTGCTATGCCATGGGGCAACCTGATGACTTATCACCCACTTGGGTATTGCTTTCTTTTCCCAGTCTGTCAGTTTGTCAATGGGCCACTGTTATGGTTTAAAGAGTAAAAATAAATATTCATGTAAATTTATTCAATATCTGTCTGCAACAGTGTCCTGGGTTAAAAAGGGTTTTCCCCTGGAGTTGGAAAGTGGTTAACTCCAGGGGGGTGGTGTTTCTTGGTGTTGACCCAATCAGCACCCCTGCAAAATTAAAACATATCACACCAGACCGGAAAAGAAGAATGATGACGTAGTTGGAAGAGAAGCAGTCATGTTCTGAGATCACAAGGAGAGTGAGGGGTCAGGAGCTCCCTGGAAGTCAAGGCCCCACCAGCCCCAGCTGAGGGCTACAAGAACTTGGAACAGTGTTAAACTGGGCCAAGTACTGTGGCTAAGAGCTGGGGGAAGTTTCTTCGCTGTGAGTGGACAGTCAGAGACATTGAAACGGCAGCAGAGCAGCAGTGAACAGAGAACTGTGGCAGAAAGCCAAGAAGATAAGAGGGAAGTAGCAAAGATGGCATGTAGTCAAGCTGAGAGACACAGAGATGTCTGACGGAGACAGAGAGAGAGAGAACTAAGCTCAATAGAGACTGTTTGGGGTGAGTCTGATTTTATTTCCCCAAACCTTTGAGACTCCTCCTGGAAGGAGGGGGTGGACTTCTACTTGAAGGGAGTCCTGAAATGCAGCAGCACTGGAGAGAGGAGTTGAGAAGCTCAGAGATGTCTTGGAAGTTGGACTGGGACGGCTGGACGGAATGCAGGGGAAGTGGCCTTGCCCCCCCGCCTGCTACCACGCTGGCAGTTTGAGACAGAGTAAAGGAGCTCTGGTAGGACGTTTGGGGCAAAGACTGAACTGAGAACTGCCCTAAATGTTCTGACTCAGAAGGAACTTGAATCCCCTGAGGAAGGGACTGTCGCGAAGATACCCTGCACTTCGTGATATGACATGGTGAAGCGAGCCTTGTCCCTGCTTCACAGTCCACAGGAGAGAGACCTGGAGCCGAAGGGCCAAGGGGTGAGAGAAGACCCCCTTGTGTGTAATGGAGAGAGAGAGAGAGAGATTCCAGCGATGACAACTCCAGCTATGACTGCTGCTTTGAAGAGGAGAGACACTGCTGCCCTGAAAGTGGAAAGGATCTTTCCTTCTTCCCTTCTGAACTTTTATTGGAGGGAAAGGAGATTTGATCTAATGTAAATATATTGCTTTACCATAGGAGAGATAGTTAGAATTGTGTATATAATGTATTATAGTATTTATTTGTGTAACAATTTGTCATGGTTTGAGAGTCCCAAAATTCAATTCCCTAGTCCAAGCCCCCCTCCCTCATCTCAGCCCAGTGTGAGATGGGTTTTCCAGACACCACACGAGACTCAAAATGGGGGGAAAGGGATATATATTACAATGACTGTACAAAATAAATACTACAATACATTATATACAATCTTAACTATCTCTACCATGACAAAATAGTATTTACAATGGATCCAATCTCTTCTCGCCTCCAAATAAAAGTCTAGGAGGGAAGAAGGAAAAGATCCTTTCTACTCTCAGAGCAACAATGTCTCAAGGGCAGCAGGCTCTCTCTCTCTTTCTGTGCAGCAGTTGTAGCTGGATCTCTGCCAGTACACACGAGGGGGGTATCCAAGCCCCTCGGCCCATCGTCTCCAACTGAGGGTCTTCTCTTCAGTGGGCTGCGTTCACCCGGACAACGGTTGCTTCACCACGTCATGCCACGAAGCACAGGGGTCTTCGTTATGGTCTATATCTTCAGGGGATTCAAGCCCCCTTTGCAGAGCTCCGTGCTCTGTCTCAAGGCAGTGGGGGGGCCAAGATCACCCCCTCCATATTCCTTCTCTGAGCTTTTCAGCTGCTTTCTGCAGTGCTGTAGCACTCCAAGACTAAAAGTCCATCATCCTCCTCTCTCTAGGAGGTCTCAGAGGGGTTTGGGGTCTTTTGGTTCAGTTCTTACCCCAAAACTCTGTCTGTAGAGCTTAGTCCTGCCCTTTAATGACTAGTCTCAAAGTAGCAGTGATATATACAGAGTTTTCAGTTTCAAAATCAGTGCCATCAAGTTTCAAAATGAAATCTTGCATCAGGAAATCTATAGGTTAAAGCTGAAGGCTAATAGAAAAGTGTTCTTATCATTGCAACTGCTCTTCTTGCCTGGTGATCAAACTGTATGCAGCCAACTGAAAGAAGCAGGAGTATGATTTTTCTTCTACTTCAACATCTTCCAAGTGGTTTCTTTTTAATTATCCTGTTTCTTAAGAATTTTGTTTTATTCATGAATTGTTTTCTCTTGCCTTTCTTATAGTGGATTTTTCATAACATACTTTAGCCTTCTTCAATAGCTCTTCAACCCTTCTCTCCTACACACCTCTATGTCTGTTAGGATAGATCAGTTTTGCCTTCTTGTTCCTAAGATGTTGTTTGTACTACTTTCACAGATGTCCCAAAAATCACCTGTTCAATCAAATCTGTTTTCCACTGAATTGGAAGACTAGTTTTAAAAGATGGTAAGTAGAAAAACAAAGTTTCTTTATCTTTTCCATTTTATGCCACTTTAACATCATATGTCACTAAACTAATTCTAAATGAAAGAGAAATGATTTAGTGCACAACTCATTTATTGATACCTACTGTTTTTTATATTCTGTGGATAGCAATAGTATAAATATAATTAGTTTTCCTCTAAAAATAACCTCGTTATTTCAGTAATATATTGGTGAATATTCTTCCTCCATTCAAAGCATTAAAATCCACCACAAATCCCACTGTGTTTTATATCAAATTTCTTTCAACCTCTGTACCATTTCCATCTTTTTAGTTTCAGTACAAAACCACATTCTGTCTTCAAAGAGGTTCCCTTAAGTGACACCTGTTGCTCTTATTCTTACATAATTTAAACCCAAATACACTCATTTTCCTGAGTAGATGGATGGCAATGCTTCCTGATCAATATTCTACATTCTTATATTCAAAGATCCCAATGAGTAAATATGCATCAGCCAGGCTCTCCCTTGGTGCTTTATACAAATGATCATTGTTTCAGTTACCGGATTTTCTAATTGGAAAGTGAGCAATAAATTTTAATACCTTCATAGTGTTCTTTTTAACTTTCACCCAAAGATCCTAGAGAACACAGAAAAGAAAAAGCCTATTGTCATGGTTTGAGAGTCCCAAAATTCAATTCCCTAGTCTAAGCCCCCTCCCACATCTCAACCTAATGTGAGATGGTTTTTTCCAGACACCACACGAGACTCAAATGGGGGAAAGGGAATATATATTACAATGACTGTACAAATAAATACTACAATACATTATATACAATCTTAATTATCTCTACCATGACATAAGGATTTACAATGGATCAAATCTCTTCTCCCCTCCAAATAAAAGTCCAGGAGGGAAGAAGGAAAAGATCCCTTTCCACTCTCAGAGCAGCGATGTCTCTAAGGCAGCAGGTTCTCTTCTTCTATGCAGCAGCTGTAACTGGATTGTCTCTGCCAGTACACACGAGGGGTATCCAAGCCCCTCGGCCTGTCGTCTTCAAGCGAGGGTCTTCTCTTCCATGGACTGCATAGCAGGGACAAAGCTTGCTTCACCACAGTCATATCATGGGGTGTAAGACTCCCATGAAGGTCCCTTCCTCAGGGGATTCACCCCTGAGTCAGAACATCTCTGGCAACTTTCAGTTGGAAACCTTTGCCTCAAGAGTTCTACCAGAGCTCCTGTGCTCTGTCTCAGGCTGCCAGATTGGCAGCAGAGGCAAGGGGGGGGTCAAGGTCACCCCCTCTGCATTCCTTCTCCGTCCCGGTCCAGCTTTCCAGGATGCTTTGAGCTTCTCAGCTCTTCTCTGCAGTGCATGTTGCACTTCACCCTTCCCTTCCAGGAGGTGAGGGGTCTCCAAGGAGTTTGGGGGGTTTTTGGTTTCAGTTCTTACCCCAAAAACTCTGTCTGTAGAGCTTAGGTCTGCTCTCTCTCTGCTGTTGGCTCTCGTTCTCTTTCTCAGACAACTCTGTGTCTTCCTTGGTTGCACGTTTTGTTGCTACTTCTTCAGTTATCTCTTGGCTCTTAGCCACAATCTCTGGACGCTGCTTCTGCTGTTGCTCTGTCTCTGCTCACTCACGGTGGAGAAAACTTCTTTAGCTTTCAGCTACAGGTACTTAGCCCAGTTTTATGCTGTTCCAAGTCCCTGCAGCCCCCCCCGCTGGGGACTGGGGGGGGGCCCAGTCCCCAGTGGTGCTGCTGTTGTTTCTCCTCGTGGCTCCTACAACATGGCCACTTCTTCTACAACAACCTACAACTACCTTCTCTTCCGTTTTGCTTGTGATATATTTATATTTTGCAGAAGCGCTCATTGGGTAAAACCTCAAAACTTCAAGGGTCACCACCCCCTGGGGTTTTACCATTTTATAACTTCAGGGGGAAAACTGTTTCCCCCCACCACAACAAAATATCATCTTCAGAGCAGTACACAAATCTCTACAGTCATGCTTAACTTTCTCCTCCTACCCAGGGAAGGTGCAGAAGGGAACGAATTTCTAAAGACAATGTGAGTATGGCCCCTTAAATCACTCTTAAATGTAGTGATTTGAGTACTAGATTGGTGCGCTAGTGGTTTGAACAGTAGGCTCAAACACTCCTCCTTATCATAGTAGGCTAAAAAAGAGGTTGAATCTGTGCTTCCCACTTCCTGGAGCAGTGACTGCACAATAGCTTCATGTTTAGAACAGACAGGTAACCACTTTTCAGCTACAGTTAAAAAGGTTGTTCCTGTCCTTTCAGAGACTTCAAGAAGGGAACCTGAAACTTCAGAAACCAAAGAATCTTAACAGCTGCTCTGAGGCAAAGTTTAAGAAAAGGGTGAAGTTTAAGATAAATCTTTCATTATCAGTTAGAGTAGTTTTCTGCTCAATACACAGTCATGGGTGTTTCAACTTGAGACACCTACTTCTCCTACTGCATCACTTATGATTCCACTTTAGTCTAATTTTTCATTTCTAATCAAGCTTTGCACCACTCAGCTACTAAATCTTTAATGGATTTAGCCCTCAGAAATCAGAGACACAGAAAAACTAAAATTAAGATAAGGCTTTTAATAGAAATAACTGATGGAAAGTAAATTTAATGGAACCAGGATTCATAAGAACTGGAATTAGATGTTTTGCAGAAAGCAAAGGGTTGCAGAAATTATTTTCTGTAGTGAGCTCTAGTAAGTGAGTTTATATACATGTACCCATAATACATAGTAATTTCTTTTTACAAGAGAAATGTATCACTTCAAATTCCTGTTAAACACGTGAAGTGAAATATAAATGAAGTCACTTTGCATTTAAATGTTCAAAAATGACCAGATGTACTAAAAATACGGATTTTCCTAATGACATTCCACATAACGAATGTGTGTATATATAGTGGATACATCAGAACTTAGATATGAAGAAATGTTCTAAAGGCAAATTAAGCTAAAACTCCTATATCATTCTACAAAAATTAAGTTTGACAAAGACATCTTTTTAAAATGAATCATGCAGTGAAATTAAATTCTCACTTAACATTTTTTAAAGAAGGGGTTTTTTTTCAGTTTTCTAAAATTTGTTCTGACTTAATAGTCCTCACAAATGTATACTTTTATATATACTTTTATATATAAAATAGGATTAGTGGAACTGTGGACTTGCTTACAGGTGAGTGTTGCAAGCTTGTTTATCTTTGCTGATTTATTCAAAACTTCAGTTATACACTACTTAACCTCTGAAATCAGCACTACAATTAATCCTTAGCAGAGCATGCACTTTTTATCATTGGAAAAAAATCTACTCATACAATTAATTTTCTGGAAGTATACTGAAACTCCTTCCAATTCCTTTCCTCATAAGAGTTTTGGCAATAATCTAGAAAGAGCACTTAAATACAGTAAGAAAACATGCAATACATGGGGAACTAGAGTCAGATAAAAGAAAACAGAAGACAGAAAAGGTTTATTTTGCACATATATTTTTCATATTCTTGAAGAAAGTGTCTACAATTTTAAAAATGCTTTTGGTAAGTACTTCTTTTGGAGATTACATCAGATTTGAAACTGTACTGCTTCAAAGTTTTGTGAATCAAAGTCTAATGAATACTGAATTGTCAACAATTATAGAATGCAAATACGGAAATAATTTCAGTCAGGAAACAAGAGAAAGTATAAGAAGAATATAAATAGATATTTTAAATGCATATACAACTTCTGGCAGGCCAGAAGTATCAGATTTCTAAAAAAGCAAGACTTGTGTGAGGAGTTCACATTTACTGAATGGATGCAGTAAGTACAATGACTATAACCAGATCATTTAAGATAAGAATAAAAATCAGAATTCTGTTCAGCAAAACATTGAAAAATATAGTTTTAAAAAGTATCAAAAGTATGATAAATGAGATTCAGTAACAATGTTGACTTAATCATTACATAACCATAGAACTTAGAAAAACCATAATGGGGCACACCTAACTGGAAAAGCATTGTGCTTCACTACACTCCTAAAGCAGGTAATACTTGCAAGAAAAACTGCAATCGCCTGTTACAAATCTCAGTTCCCAATATACAAATGATGCAGTTGTTTCAACAGAATTTTGTAGTGGAAATGGTTTTGGACATAGAATAGGAAATTCCAGTTTAACAGTCTTGCATTAATATTTGTGTGAATTAAGAATAACTCAGATTATAAAATTCCTTAGTTGCTTTTCATGATTATCTTAACACGAATAAAAGCTTCCTGTCACATACATTCAAATAACTATTCTTGTAATTTTCTGCTTAGAAAAGAACATAAATACCCATCTTGTATCAGGTTTATCATACCATTCATATGAATTGTCAGTGAAAAAGTTGACACACTTACATTTTTCCTTACTGCTGTTACTGTTATATGAAAAATCCCCATCGGAACGCATCACAGGGAAATCATCTTCATCATCTTCTACCACTAAATGTGAGAAAGTGTGTGTTATAGGAGTGAGAAAGTTTTCCCAATTCTTTAGTGTGCAAGAAAGATTTAAGAGCATCTTTATGACTAAACAACATTTAAGATTTTTTTCCTATAACAGTCGTGACACACACCCTCTCCTCTTTTTTTCTGACCACTATCAACATTACTGTCAGAAACCATCAGGAGACTAACATTTGTTCAGTATCAAAATTTAGCACTTGATTTGATGGTAAGAAGAACATTATCTTGGTGTTACAACTGGATAAGCAGGGAGTCACAATTGAGCAACTATCTACTCTTACACTAGAAAGTTCTCAAAGAAGTGGAATGGTAATTATCTATTGTTTTCTCACTATCAAAAGTTTCAGGCTGCCAGAACAAACGTGGGAATGAATATAAATGCTTTGGGAGAGTGCATGATCTGGGAAGAACAATTCAGAGATATGTAGACATCCACACCTGAGTCTACTAGGACTTCAAGTGTGCACTCAGTGCTCTAGCTACAGCCAATACATGTCAGGAGCATTCATTATGGCAGAACTTTTGCCTTTTTTAAAGAATTTATTGTTCCTATCAAAGTTAATATGTTATTGTTTTTCAATATAAAGATAAGAGACTGTCACAGTTTCAGTTGGGATAGAGCTCATTTTCTTCTCAGTAGCTGGTACAGTGCTGTGTTTTGGATTCAGTATGAGAATAACTTTGATAACACATTGATGTTTTGGTTGTTGCTAAGTAGTGCTTACTCTAAGTCAAGGACTTTTTGGTGTCTCATGCTCAGTCAGTGAGGAGGTGCACAAAAAGATGGGAGGGAGCATAGCTGGGACAGTTGACCTGAACTGGTCAAAGGGATATTCCATACCATAGAATGTTATGCTCAGTATATAAACTGAGGGGAGTTACCTAGAAGCACGGGTTGAATGCGGCTTGGGAACAGGCTGGGCATTGGTCAGAGGGTAGTGAGCAATTGTATTGTGCATCACTTGTCTTTCTTGGGTTTTATCTCCCTCTCCTTCTTATTACAATTATTATTATCTTTTACTTTGTTTCAAATAAACTGTTCTTATCTCAACCCAGGAGTTCTATTTTCTTTTCTGTCCTGATTCTCCTCCCCATATCATCGGCGGGGAAGGCAAAGCGAGCAAGTAGATGCATGGTACTTGGTTGCCAGCTGGGGTTAAACCATGACAGAGACATAGCAGTAAACTAACTTGAATTCATCTTATGGGGTAAACAATTATTGTTCTATAACATCAAATGCTTAAAAGAACATTTATACAGTTGACGGTTAGGGGTTAATATTTAAGTTAAGTAGATTTTTATGGGAATCCAACTTCTGAAGTGAAAATAGTTAACACTGTTTATGCAGAAATATCTATGATTGATCCCATTAGTAAAGAGTAAATTTAATATACCTATTTCATTTATATGGTATCAAATGCTATAGTAACTATTTCAAAGGCTATTACTATGTAAAAAGATAAATTCTATGGAGATAAGAGTTTTCAATTCCAGTTTTACCTTTATCCCTCTGGAGTTCATCTTTGGAAACTGCATCTGCACAGACATCAAAGTATTTCTGTAAAGTATCAACTTGTCTACACAAGATGTCTCTAAAGGTTTCCATTTCTGCAAGCTTCTCGTGTAAGCTATGGCCCTTCTGAAAATACAAGCGAAAAAGGCTCAAATGCTTCTACAGACTCAGCAATAGTTCAATACAAAAAAAAAAGGATTTCTGTAATTATGAAGAACAAATTCTTTAAGTACACCAAAGAAATTTCAGATATCAGCAGCTATGAAATACTGTTAATGTTAGAACATAAGAAACCGTATAAAAGTGTTTCTTACTCATTTTGTCCACTGGTCTCAATTTTTCCTCTTGACTGCATCTGCTACTTTAGAGCATTCAATAAAAGCTTATTAAAAACAATCTTACATACTACCAGGTTTACACCTATTTGCCTGAAAAGTCAGTTCTAGTTTAAGATCTTTGTTCTAATCTTTACTCTCCTCTTTCTTGTGCTGCTCCTCTTCTGCTCTCACAGAAGTACAGCCCATCCAATTTCAAATGTTAAATATTAATACATATGAAACAAAGTTGTTATTTGTCAATCACTAATAAGCAAATTTAAGTCACAGAATCAGCATTTCCTTTCATTTAGAAGTCCTTATATTCTCAGAAGTATGCTAAGAAAGGCTAATAAATCCTCCCACAGGTTTGATTTGAAAATGACAGCATAGTTTGAGGGACAACTGCATAGAGGCATGAAAAAGGTTCCTGTACAATCTGTTCATCATCACATGCTGAATTACTAACACTTATAACAAACTAAAGATTTGTTGGGTTTTTTTCCAATAATTGTGTGAATAAGTCTTCACATAGCTTATTCACTTTCCAGTTCTGTGTGTTATTTACACACCAATACTAAGAAAATGTTATTCACTAACCTTGAATGAAGAGGTGGATGTTGCAGAGTATCCACTTGCTCCAGAAACAAGAGACACCATGGAGCCATGGCGTCTCAAACTTGACTCTGATGCATAGCCAGATTCAGTCTAAAAACCAAACCACACACAAAAGTAGAGTGATGAGGTTTTTAATAAAAAAAGAAATAATGAAAGCAAGTTTAATATTATCTCCTCTAAACTAACCCATTTGTTTCTTGTCAGGAAGCAGCAAGGGCTTAATAACTCGGATTGTGCCTGCAAGTTTAAGATGTTGATGTAGCTGTAAAGTTACTATGAATCTTTTTTTTTTTAATCAAGTTGATCTGGAAAAAAGTAGTTATATGCAACTTATGTGTCTCCAAAATAGTAACTAATTAAATAATGAAAAAAATAAAAAACCTCTATTGATTAAAATAGAACAAAAAAGATATAAGAATATTGTTTAAAAAATGCCCTCACAAGTGTAACAGACACAGATACTGAGGAACTGGAAGAAAAATATTTTCCTAAAGGTAACATAAAATGGCCCAGGCATGGCAAAGCAGAAGAAAAACCCTGAAAGAGAATGTAAGACAGTGTTGGAAAATTTTATTCCCTGACTATTGTATCAGTCTTTGGACAATCAGAGCTCAAATCAGTCCAGTAGTTTAATTACCTAGGCAGCCTCATCTCCTCGGATGGTAAGATTGATGGAGAGATAGACAACAGGTTAGCAAAGGCATATAGTGCTTTCGGAAAAATCCATAAAAGAGTATGATGTAATAAACACTTGAAGAAAAGTACCAAGATCAGTGTTTACAAAGCCATTGTGCTATCTACTCTTTTATATGGTTCCGAATCATGGGTCATCTACCACCACCACCTGCGTCTCTTAGAACACTTCCATCAACGCTGTCTCCGTACAATCCTTAACATCCACTGGTCAGATTATGTGACCAATACATCTGTTCTAGAACAAGCAGCAGTCACAAGTATTGAGGCTATGTTGCTGAGAACACAGTTGTGCTGGGCAGGGCATGTCTCAAGGATGAAGGACCACCGCCTCCCTAAGATCTTGCTTTATGGTGAACTTGCCACTGGCTGCCGCAAGAGAGGAGCCCCGAAGAGAAGATACAAGGACGCCCTGAAACAACATCTCAGCCTTGGCCATATTGATCATCATAACTGGTCTACTCTGGCCTCAAATCGGGAGGCCTGGAGACACACCATTTATAACCCAAAGCTGATGCTTTTGAGAAAGCACGCAGGATCACTCTCGAGGAGAAAAGACAACGCAGAAAGAATTGTGTCTTGCAGAATATACCACCTAAGGAGTCTTTCTGTTGTACCTTTTGCAATCGGACACGTCTATCTCGTATTGGCCTCATTAGCCACCAGCGTACTTGTAACAAAAGTGGATAACGTCTTTCCCAAATCTTCGTTCGCAAAGCCTAACCATGATGATGATGATGATGATGAATTTGTATGAACTTTCTTCATCCCAGGAGGACTCTGGGAACTAGCGACCTGTCAGCCTCACCTCTGTGCCTCGGAAGATCCTGGAACAGGTCCTCCTAGAAGCTATGCTAAGGCACATGGAGGACAGGGAGGTGTTTCGAGAGAGTCAGCATGGCTTCACCAAGGGCAAGTCCTGCCTAACCAGCCTAGTGGCCTTCTGTCATGGAGTAACTACATCAGTGGACAAGGGAAGGGCTACAGATATTTATCTGGACTTCTGTAAAGGCCTTTGACACGGTCCCCCACAACATCCTCTCTAAATTGGAGAGACAAGGATTTGATAGGCGGACTGTTCGGCAGATAAGGAATTGGTTGGATGGTTGCATCCAGAGGGTAGTGATCAACGGCTCAGAGTCCTGATGGACATCAGGGACAAGTGGTGTCCCTCAGGGATCCGTATTGGGACCAGTGCTATTCAATGTCTTCATCTGAAACAGAGCAAGGTCTGAAGAGCTAACTCAGAATGCATTCTCTGAGCAAAGAAATAAAGAACCAAGATTCAGGGACTAGCGGAAGATAACACTTTACCAAAGAATGCTGACACACTGACACAAAAGAACATAAAGTAAGAGCACAGGGAAATAAAGAGCACCAAAAATGCTAACACATATACATAAATAGACATAAGGAAGGAACACGGAGAGATAAGGGGAAAGAGAAGGGTCAGAGTCCAGAAACTCCTGTCAAATACATGTTGGAGTCAGTAGAAATAAGGAAAGTTCAAAAGTTTACCTGAGGGAGAAGAGCAAAAAGACTACCCCTGAGGCTGAAGTAACAGGAAGTACCACCGAGATTCTCCCCAAAATGATGACCCTGTCCCTGACTCCGCCCTAACTCCGCCTGCTATGAATATTATAACTAGATGTTGCAATAATATGAATATGCAGGTAAAGATGATGTAATCTCTCGCAAAAATTGTATAAATAGTCTAAGTTTTTGCTGATTGCATCGGAACTCTTTGTCCAGCATGAGCTGGGAGTTCCCCAACATTGCCTGAAATAAATACCTTGCTACTTAAAGACCAAATTCTGTCTCTGAGCAGTTCCATTGCGCCTTTTTGGGCATCACATCAATGGCATAGACAAAGGGATTGAGTGCACCCTCAGCAAGTTTGCAGACAACACCCACCTGAGTGGTGTGGTTGACACTCCTAAAGGACAGGATGCCATCCAGAGGGACCTGGACAAGCTTGAGAAGTGGGCCCATGGGAACCTCATGAGACTTAACAAGGCCAAGTGCAAGGTGCTGCACCTGGGCTGCCCAGCTGCACCAGGCAACCCCCAGTATCAATACAGGCTGGGGGACAAATGGATCGAGAGCAGCTCTACTGAGAAGGACTTGGAGGATACCAGTGGATGAGAGGATGGACATGAGCTGGCAGTGTGTGCTTGCAGCCCAGAAAGCCAATTGTATCCTGGGCTGCATCCAAAACAGGGTGGTCAACAAGTCAAGGGAGGTGATTCTGCCCCTCCGCTCTGCTCTTGAGACCCCGCTTGGAGTGCTGCATTCAGCTCTGGGGCCCTCAGCACAGGAAAGACATCAACCTGTTGGAGTGAGCCCAGAGGAGGGCCATGAAGATGATTAGAGGGATGGAACACCTCTCCTATTAGGAAAGGCTGGGAGAGTTGGGGTTATTTGGCCTGGAGAAGAGAAGGCTCCAGGGTGAGTTTAGTGTGGCCCTTCAGTACCTAAAGGGGATCTACAAGAAGGCGGGAGAGGGACTCTATACAAGGGTATGTAGTGATAGAACAAGGGGGAATGGCTTTAAACTGACAGAGGGCAGGTTTAGATTAGACATTAGGAGGAAATTCTTTACTGTGAGGGTGGTGAGGCACTGGAACAGGTTGCCCAGAGAAGTTGTGAATTTCCCATCCTTGGAAGTGTTCAAGGCCAGGTTGGATGGGGCTCTGAGCAATTTGGTCTAGTGAAAGGTATCCCTGCCCATGGCAGGGGGATTGGAACTAAATGATCTTTAAGGTCCCTTGCAACCCAAACCATTGTACGATTCTTAAGATATACAGTTAACATTGTATACTGTATAGTCATGGTTAAGTAAGCATGACTAAAGGACCCCAGCTCATTGCAAGAAGGACAGAGCCCATGCTGAAGAATAAAGGATATGCCCGGACTATCAAGATAAAGCCAGCATCCTAGCCCCTCTAACACCTCTGTGAAACCCTCCCAATTATCTAGTATCATAGACAAGTAACTGTAGTAAGACCCACTCCAGACACATCTCAATCAAGAAAAAAATCAAATGGATGATGATGCCACAGAATTATAGTTGCTTTGCAAAACAGTAATATGTGTGTGTTAAAGTAATGATTGGGCAAATCATGTTGTATCTGAACACTTGAAAGGTATAAGAGCCACGTGTAAAATCACATTTGATGTACCCCAATTTGAATGGGACACCTCATGAGCATGAATAAAGAATTACTTATAATTTTATACTATACATCCTCACCTTTCCTCTCTGTCAACATGGGGCAGTTGCAAAATTTCTGTGACAAAGAAACAGATGGTTCAGAGTAATATCTGAAATACTGTTAATAGATGAATTTGATCAAGTAGACAGAGAATACTGTAAAGGATCTTTGACAGAATAAGAAATACTGTAGTGGTAGACAAATTCAGATGGGGCAGGGAGAAGGGGAGACAGAACATATGATATGGAACAAGCAAGAAGTAACAATGAAATTCTAGCTGTTGGACTTTTGTGGAAAATGTGAAAATGGCATTGGCTTTGGGAAGGTGAGAAAGTGCTGATAAATTAAGATGCAAATAAAGACTATTAAAAGAAAGGACACAAAGTTGAAGTTAGTTAAAACAGGGGAATTTAGACAATACTGCAAGTGTGCAGGACAAAGCATGTATGTTTGGGTTACAAAGGAGCAGTGGTAGAGAAACATAGTTTTTGAAAAATTAAAGTATGACTTTAAAAAGTGAGTTCCAGATTTGTTAACATAATTCCAGAATGAATGTGACTGAATGAGATTACCCAGCAAAAACAAGTAAAAAGGAGCCAAGAGTCAGTTTCTATCTGGCCCATTTAAAGAATAAGGTATAAGACAACAAAGCATTGAGGAAACAGAAGAAAGAGAAACAGAATGAGTATCAAAAGTAGAAGTAAAGTAGAAAAATGAAAATTATCAAAAAATGCAAGTACAGTTAGAAAAAGGTCCTCCAAGTCTTGATGGGAAATGGCTAAGTAATCAAAAACTTAAAAAAAAAAAAAGAAAAAGGGAGAGTAGAAAAGAGTGAAAAAGAAAAAAAAAGGAAAAAAGGAAAAATGGCATTCAAAAGTTCAAAAGATTTAAGAAGGCACATCTTAAATTAATTGCTTAATTTAGCAAAAACCAAAAAATATTGTAACATCTGAGATAGCATAAATACAAGTTTTTTTAATGATAGTCTAGAGTGAAACGATATAAGGTAAGATGCATTTAGAAATTTCTGCTATGAATCATGCATTTAAAGTTATTTTATACAGAGCAAGGGTCCTAGAAAAATAGCTACATAACTGTAGTGATGGAAGTGCTAAAAGGTCAATTTTTT